AATAGTGCCTAAGAAGGAATTCTTATAATTTATGTAATAATAACTCTGCCGTTCTTAAAGTGTAATAAGTCTGCTGTCCTTGAATCTTCTATTTTCAGCACCATAAAAAACATAATTTTTTATTAAAGTATTGACGACTTGAGTCTGTCCTTATTTTTCAGACCTTAATTTCAGATTTATAGCCTCCTGTTTTTGAACATATTTTATGGTGTGGAGTTTAATTTTTATAGTCTCTTGAAGTTTCTCCAGTCCTTAAGTATTGAAAAAACAAATCACACTATAGTCTGTTTACTTTTTATAACTAATACCTGAAATGATAAGAAATATAAATACAAATAATCACCCAAATCAATATCAACACACAATAAGAATTCAAGAGTCATTGATGTGTAGATTGACGGTCTGCTCTGTGATTTTAAGGCCAACAAATCTCCTATGGATCTCGATCTTTTTGTTTTCCACTTCTCCTCATCATCTCCTCAAGTTGTTTTTTAATATCCTCTTTCTTATCTTTATATAAATAAATGTTTTTTATTAAAGTATTGAAGCTTTTCCATAAATAAACGTTGAAGCTTCTTTTTTCATCGCAATGAATAAATGATTTATTGATAAAGTTATTGAACACTTCAACCTGTCCTTATTTTCAGATTTATAGTATGCTGTTTTTTTATCATGTTTTTTGGTGTTCATTATTTTTTATAGTCCTTGAAGATTCTACCTAAGACTTCAAGCCTATGAAATCCCCATAACTATTCATGTTTCCTTGATATTTTGTTGGAAACTACTATCCATGCAACTGTAAAAAAAACTCTGGTGGGAACTTTTGAGAAGAAAATAAAGGAAGGATCAGTATATGTATTTGCTTACTTCGGCGTCGGCAATAGCAGTGGATATTATCGCACTTCACGATATACTTTCGCCTAAATTTCCAAGCAAGGATGACTGTCACTAAAACCAAGACTACCTCTAAAGTTCCAGAGAAGACAATTTCTAATAGTCTTATGTTTTGCTATGTCTATTAAAAAAAGTCATGGTCAAACATTGTCATTTGTTGGATTATTTTTAACCAAGTCAGTGTTCACTCATGGTCAGCTTTATGTTGCTGTTTCGCGAGTGAAGACAAAGACAAGTTTAAAAATATTAGTCTTAGATGACAATGGAAATCCTTGCAGTCATACAAAAAATGTTGTATACCCTGAAATATTTCAAAAAATTTGGTATTAAAGCAAACTTTATTGTGTGTAGATTTAATTTCTCAAATATTATTCTTTTTACTTTGCCTTTCTTTTATGTGTTATTATAAATCATGCATGAGGTATATTTCCTTTATTCCGGAAAAAAATATTACATTGAATAAATTCAGAATCGACAAGATATTCGTAACCCGTGCATTGCACGGGTAGGAATACTAGTAGGTTAAAATAAAAATGTTTTTTTTTCACCTAGTGTACTTTTTAACCAAAACCCAAAGGCAGACGTTTTCATTTCATTAAATGAGGGGCAGCAGGGTAACAGGAATGTACTTCATTTTCAGTGAACTTAGAAATGGTCAAAAACTTTGAAAAACCCCTACCTACTTATAGGCCAGGCCATGCGCCATCCCAGGCCTAAATACATACCCTAGCTTTTCACAATTATTACTCTTAGTTGAAATCAATATAATTTCTTTCTTTTTTTTATGAATTACTCCATCCGTCTCGCTATATTCGTCCACTTTTGACTTTTGGAACTTTTCATCTAAGCACTTTGACTCATCAAATTCTCTCAATGTGTAAGCCTAAATATAGTCATGCGTGATCTTGTTTGATTTGTCTTAACATATAGATTATTAATATATAATTTCTATAATTTTTAATATACAAATTAGAAGATAAAATGGATTAAAGAAGTGTACTGGATGGTGTGCAAAAATGAAAGTGGACAAATATAGTGGGACGGAGGAAGTAAAAAATAAACAAACAATTTTTGAAGAAAAAAAATCCATTGGGTTTTTTAAATTCTGTATAATTACTATTCATGAACTCAAACTATTTCTATGTATCTTTTTTTGTATAATTTGATAAAATGATAAAATTGAGTCATCTTTAATTATATTTTATATATCTGTTGATATGCAAAAGTTTTTAAATAAATAATCCAAAAATAGCATTAGTCAAACATTTTGAATCATACTATCCCTGTCTCAAACAAGTCTTTTTTATTTGATCGCTAAAATTAACCGCTTGCATATAAAGTCGTAGATAGAGTTTCACCCTTCTATATATGCTAGTAGTATTCATCTTTATTTTTCAATGTAGGAACTCTAACACTTTCCCTTAAGTGCTAACTAGTCAGACCTAGTTAGCACCTTTACAAAACGGGTATAGCATCTCAATCACTTAAAGTTAGTTCACACAACGGGCGGTGGCATAGGAATCTCTTTTTAGCCAACTAAATCCAAACAACGGACAGGTAGCTCATCATTTTTTTGCTAAACTCACGTCCAACGACCAGGAAGAATTGAATCCA